CAGAGCACTAATTCCGAGTATGGGTCACCATACTCACTCACTCACTTTAAAGCCGGGCTCACACTGTGCGATTTTTAATAGTCCTTTGCGATTAGTTGTCATAATGTCAGACTGTACGACAGTCAAGACGTGACAAAAACGGACTTACACAAGAAGACTTGTCCGGAGTTTTACGTCATCAATCCGTGACCCGCGTTCTCTCGCTATAATGGTAGCTAGAAAACAAAAGCAATATATAGGGTTAGTTTTGTTAATTACATGCCTTGATAATAAAAACCGGAAACCGGAGCAAGTCATGGCTGGGCAAAAGAGGACTTTATGGACTTCCAGTTCTACAGCGCGAACTTGAGGTAATTTTGTTATTCGAGTTTAAACATCCTGCCCCTTAATAATACGTTTTTCTTCTTTTTGTACTGTCCACCTGTCTCATTTTGACATTTTTACTGAGGTGTTTGAAGTTGTCGCGCTAATTGCGTTATCAGGTTCAGCGCTCCTATTGGTTCTTGGTTTGACGGTCGTCGTAGGAGAAGTCACACTGCAGGAAAGTGTCTGAAATCTTCTGAAACTGCCAGAATTTAATCGGAGGAAAAAGTTTATCGCAACGGCCATTAATCGGCTGTCGGTGAACATGTCAAACCAGCGATCAAAGACAACAGATTTTAGGATTATAGGAATCTTTTAGGATTTCCAAACTTTGTCTCAGACAACCAAATCGTGGCCAAAATCGCACAGTGTGAGCCGGGCTTAAGAGAGTAGCAGGACTTAACAGTTTAGCATGGAGAACATGGCTCACTAAATGTATACTAATTTGCCTCAGTCAAAAGAAAACAGGTTGAGGACAATATGTTTGTTTTGCTTAAGCTGGATTTGCACGGCACACAGCGGCAATCAGACTTCAAAGCGCTGTGAGCTTTTATTGGCACCGAAAAATGAAGGTAATTGCTTGTGATCATGCAAAATTGTCAGTGTGGTGGGGACATTTTGTGCTATAGTGCCAAATATCAAGCCCTCGCATTGGAAAGAGTAGCTGGGTGTCATTTTTGATTCAAAGTACTTGCTCTCGCTGACAGAAACTGGATACAGGCATTGTGACATCTTCTGCGTTCATTTTTCAAAGAGCGTCAAATCAAACATGCATGAGCCCATGACAGTGTGGGCCTGAAAGTCCCTATCTGAGGGATAAAGCACTTAGAATGGCACCAGCTAGCTAATGCTTTGCACATTGCATCCCAGTGCATCCTTGGTCACATTGTCAGCTCAAGAGTCGGAGGCAGCCTTCAACAAGCTTTCAACTTATGCAGCCTGGAAGCAGATTCGGTCCCACGCCACGCTCTTTGCAGATGCATGTAATTAAAATCAAAAGTCCCTCTCCCGCTGCCTTTGCAGAGGTCATGAACCGCAAGATGAAACAGAGCAATGTACCCATAAGTCTGCAAGGAAATCACAAGTCATGCACTCCTATTGTCTGAATAATATGTGGTTCGGAGGCTATACTTCATGTTAACGCATTAACCCCAATCACCACAGAAACGAAAGTGCACGCACAAGTCAAGCAGGCGGTTATGCAAACGTAATGTGAACCGTTAAAAAAGGCCATCAGCGTATTAAGTCTAATAAATGATCCACAGTGCAGCATGTGGACTCAAACAAAGCCTAACTCGGGTTCAAGAGTGGGCGTGTGCGGGTGGTGGCTAGACGACTGTTCGCTTTGATGAATGAACGTGGGCCAACTATTTCACAATTTCACCACAACAGTGTGCTAACAGTTAAATGTAAACCTGTCAAAGCACTGATTAGTATTTTCAGCTGGTAAAAAAACATATTGTGTCTTATTCTGGCAATAGGAAGAAGAGGAAACGATGCAGTAATGCAATGCAGTATGTAACACCATTAATGAAGAGTACCAAAGTCATTTTAACCTAATTTTGCACTCAAATAAACAAAGACTCAATTTTTCACGTTTCTAAACCTAAACAAACTTTTGTTCTGTGATAAATTTGAATTAGTTGTATAGAAGTGGGTGAAACAAATATGTTATGGTACAATGAAACATGTTGGAAGACATATAGGAACTCATTGGTCTTTTTAAAGTTCTAAAAATGCCTGACGTTTCTTATTTCTTTGAATGTTTTTCTTCACTCATTTGGGACCTCAAAAAATCCTAAAGGCAAAGGTTTTGCACCACTCCACATTTGATTATTTCATGCTGAAATAATTATGCTGGGGCTAAAAATAAAAAAAAAAAGTTCACAAGTCCACAATACTTGGTGTATCACAACTCATAAAGAGAACCCTTTATGTATGGCATTGTGACCCAAGTATCATGATAATATTCTATAGCGGAATCACTCACGATTCCCACCCTTAAATCGCCCAGTGAATTAGGCAAGCTTTTGTCACACATGCCAAGAATTTGAATGTGAAAAGAGATCATCTAGACTACGCTCCTAAACTGGACAACCTTGAACACATTTGTTAGGCTAGACACAATAGAGACAAAAATGTGCATAAATAGGCAGTGATGTGAGCAATAATGACTAATAACCCTGTTACTGAATAATTTGCGTGTAAAATCTGATAAATTTCAACAATGTTAATTCGTTTAAATGACAACTGATGATTCTCTCTATTTTGGCATGTTAAAATCAACTTTTCAACGACCTTATGGAAGTTTAATCCCACATTAAGCTCAGTTAAGTCCTGTGCAATACCTCTTTAGTCCTGTTGACAGAATGACTTGAGCTCTACCTGTGTCTTACATGACTATGGCTAAAGCCTCTGCCCTTGGTAATGATGATCCTCAACCTGGGGCCCCATCTGAAGGAGGGAGGAAAATAAACTCCTCTCCTAGACGCATTCTCCATTCCTGACTCATACAAGTTAAGCCACTCATAGAAGGGGACATCACACTGGTGGGTAAATCTGCGGTGTTTTAAAATACACCCTCAGCAGACTCACCAAATGAGACTCCAGTCTTATGCGTGGGTTCATTTTTAAACATTTGCTAACAATAATTGGCCTTAACAACACACCTCCTCCAATAATGTTACCATGAACCAACACCACAATTCTTAATGAGTGAGCCGAGAGGACAGTACTTTCACCTTTGTTCCAGGAGCAATCCACCCTGAAGTAAGGGGGAAGTTTTTAACATTATCAGTACTCACACAGCCATGTAAATATTGACTGTGATTGTACAGTACTGGAGAGGTGACCAAGCAATTGTCATCAAATGACAACGTTGACTGAATAATCACACTGAAAAACAATAAGTTTCTGTTTTAAACAAGCATGCCCACCAAAGAGAAACTCTACTGTTAGAACTTAGTTTTGAGGAAACAAAACCTATTTTCATGAAAACAATGACAATTTACTGTAAACTCAAATTATTGCTAAAAAGAACTTTGGCTACCTTTATAGGCTTCTTGTAGTATTATTGGCAATAGAGTCTCCTACAATGATTAAACATCAATCATTTCCAAATCAAAAGCAATAACATGACACTGCGTAAAGCATTGGCCAGGTGTGATCAAAAAACATCAATAAATCACTTCATTCAACATCATGTAGGAAAATACAATCTTATTAACCAAAGCTGAAAGTTGTAGAATTACAAACTGTAAGAAACTCTTGAATCAACTGTTAACTTACTAAGCAATAAAATAATAATAATAATAAATAAATTAACAAAAGAATACTTGGTGGACACTTGGTATTTGTGAACTGTGTTGTATCTTGCAACCAGTGTTGGGTAGATTACTTCTTAATGTAATTTAGTACCTATTACAAATTTTATGACTAAAATGTAGTAAAAATCAGTTCACTTCTGGATTTTAATTTTAAAAAAATACAAACAAAAGCAACAAGAAACCTACTTCTTTAACATCTGCTTCATCATCTTATTTCTATATTACATGTCTTGGTGAACATTGAATAACAAATAAGTGTATCAAGTGCAAATTAAGTTTCCTTAGATTAAACAGTAAAATAAACTAGTAAACTAAAACTAGTATGTAAACTAATATTTTGAAAACAATAACTGCATAACATAACAATGTGTATCTGCTTAAATTTATTTTTGCATGTTTGGTGCATGTTTTCCAGCTACAGGGGCACAATCAGTCAATTACAAATTTATTAAACATTCATTTATTGCCGTTTCCTGGTATTTAATGTCACCCATATGCACTCATGCAATCCAAGTCAACTGACATCTAATGAAGTATATGTAAAAATGTAATGGTTTCTAATTACAAACACTCGATTTGTATAATCTTATTATGCAGATCAGTCTTATTATGCAGATCAGAGTCAGTTGGTACCCAACACTGCTTGCGTCCTCAAAGTCTGCTCCAATGTTACGTTCAAACATTCAAGCATTCACGGATTCCAAGATTCGAACTAGATGTTCAAATGTATCAGCGGTTACAACGTATCATCGTGCTTCCGAACGCGGCTGTCCTGTTACTAGAGCACAGCATGAAACATCACATTTCAGCACATGGTTGAAAGCCTTGTTTCCTATTACTTATCAAGCAGCCACAATATAATTTCACCTAATCAAAAAGACCCGGCGAATTTAAATCGCATTCATGCTACCAAGCCACCCAAACGTGCCCATCTAAACGTGCCAACCAACCGTCCACCGCAAGACAGTGCCCTCTTCATCTGAACAATGCAACACACCAGAACGATACGCTGAACGGTATGTAAACGGTGGGCTTCTCCGGCTCAGCCAAATTCCGCGTTCCTCTGAACGCCACTGTCCAGGAAAAATTGCTCAATAGTGTTTTGCTTCGAAAACACAAAGCCGTATCGCCAACGTTTCAGTAAGTGCAATTGTTTCCTCCGTAGAAATACATGTGTACACATCTTAGCGATACTTTAAGTGACTCTATTGTTAGCTGAGGTTGGAGCTAGCGCGGAGGCTACGGATTAATTTCAATGCAATGCAAGCGAGCGAGGTATGAAAATGATAGGAAAACACAAACACAACTTACATTCAGGTCCAATCACAGCACGGCGCCGAAAATCTCCTGGATTTGAAGTTGCGATCTGTTTTCTCCCCTCACACTTCACAAACACTGGGAGAAAAGCGCACGGCGTTTCGTTAGCGTGACTGTCTGAATCAACTAACGTAGTGCACGGCAAGTTGAAGTGTCAAATTACACGGGCTATTCTATTACCACAGAGCCATGCTTGCTGGTTGCTGACAAAATGTGTCCCAGAGTCGCGTAAAGCGCTCGCGCCTTTGGAAGACACCAGGCGGCGCGCGCAGATCAACGGACTGGATTTACACGCGAGTGCCAGTTGTTTGCTATTTGAATATACAGTATGTCGTTTGGCTTTATTTTATTGTAATCAAACCACGGAGACCACAATGCCTTTCCAGGATACTGATGAATACTTAGTATGACTAAAGATATAACGTTATCAAAACAATATCATATGACAGCCAAAGTGCAATTATTGTTATAATGTAATATTTATGAAGGCAAAGGGGCTTTTGCACTTAGTCTTACTAATATGTTAGTATTTTAAGTAAATAAGAATTGCAACAAAATGTGACCATTCTTTTCAAGCTCTAATTATGAGTAAACATCATTTACACAATTATATACATAAATAAAGACCCATTTTGTGTGAAAATTAAGCATTAAGTTTACATTTATGCATTTAGCAGACACTTGTATGTCGAGTTTTATGTTTTTTTCTCATACTCTTGTTTTTATCATTTTTTCCGTTTCTAAAACAAAAAAAATGTATTTTTGAATATATTATAAGTATCCTATATAATAATATTATAATACGCATATAATAACAATAACAATAATGCGTTATACAAATCCATATTTTTCTATTTCAGTTATAAATCTAAACTGTTAGACGTTATCTGATAGAAATCTCCTCCCCAAACACAAACAAACGTGCGTCCATGTGAGTCCTTCTACTTCCCGCGGATGAAAGGAACAGCTCGTTCCGTATTTTGCGATTCGCCGATGGAAAGCTCTGAATAACAAAGACATGTTTGAGAGCAGCAGCGCCAGGCTTGGCTGAGTGGTGACGTTAAGGAACAATGACTCTTCCAACAGTGCCGAGACACAGCGCGCATCTACTGCCTCCTCTCCTCAGCCAATGCTGCACGACTCTACTGACCGGAGTGGGAGGAGGCCGCCGCCGCCGCGCGAGCGTCTAGTAGTGCATCTGATAGAATCAGTCACTGCACACGCTGCGCTGCCTCACACCACCACAACAAAATTCCAGCATGTTCCTATGACTTCTGTCCTAAAATATGGAGACATGCAAATGCTCTGCCTGGGATTTTACAGCTTGTCATTTTTTTTCTCTCCTGACAGGAGCAAAGCAAATCGACAAGCGGTAGCTATTATTGTTTTTAATATAGGCAGATTTAGAGTGCTGTAACACACTTCTATACAGTATTCCCATTTGTCTGCTACTAATTAAAGCGGTTTATAAAATTGCAATGAAACTGTGTAAATTAGTGTCAAAAGAATGATGTTGATACAATCCACATCGCTGTTTACAACAATAATAGAAAACACTTGTTCAAAAAAAAATGTTGTACTTACTTGAAATACTAATTCAAAATAATTATGACATCCCCCATCACCACCACCCCTATTTCACTTTAAACATTTTAATTCAATATGGTAAAGAATAATTTTAATTGAAAGCAAACATTGAAAGACTTAAACATAATCTGTGTATGCCACATTTTGTGCAAATCTAGTTTTTATAAACATGTAGATTACAAGTTGTGTGAATGTTTCAAACCGAATTAAGAGAAACTGCTGATTTAGATAATCCCACTTCTGTCACCCATTTAGTGTTATTTTAGTATAATTGAGATACTAAAAAAGTTTTAATTCATATTTTTAATCGGGTTTTAGTTTTTGTTTTCATTTTAATTGTAATCAAAGTTTCTGTAATTTTGTTGTTTTTGTCATTTTTTATATTTTTAATATATGTTTACAGTTTATTTTTTTAGTTTCAGTTTTAGTTACTGCAGTAAGTTAAACTAAATTAGTTTAGTAACGTTTATTAATAATTTATTTTTATTCGTTAATTTATTTTATTTCAAGTAACAATTTATTATGGTTTTAGTTTTAGTTTCAGTTAACTATAATAATCCTGCATCCACTAACATGATCACAATATAATTATAAATCAGATGTGAAAAATTACCATTTTTCCCCCTTTTAGTCTAAGTCTATATAAATCAACTGTCATCTCAGGAAGATGGTGGTCATGTATGACAGTGATTTAACGCCTATAGCTCATGTATAATTGGTTAAACCGAAGGTGCGACAATTGACACTCCCTGACAATTCTCAGAACCCATTGTTTTGATTATAGGAACACTGTGACATATTTATCAATAGGGCATTATATTTATTTTTTCCTGCCATCTGTCAATTATTTCCCAGTAATCTTTGACCAGTGCTTTCAGATAAAGTGTTTGGAAGTGTCTTTTGACATCCTTAGCATCTCCACCGCACCGCTGCTGACATTAATGCATGGGGCCCATTCTCTGAGCACTTTGTCTCAAGGACACATGCTTTTGTACAGTTATCTAAGTTGGCAGGGCAGGGATAAATCTAGCAGATGACATCATCGGTCACAAGCAGTCATTCATATTTATTTCTGTCCTTTTCTTAGAAGGAGAGTTCACGATCTGCCAAATTACAATTTAAGTGCTGCAGTCAATGTCAAAGCACCCTTTTTCTCACATTCAGATATTCTCCATTAGTTTTCCAAATGGTGTTTTAACCACACTTCCTTTTCGATCCTCATTGGCTAGCTTGAATGTCTTTTTGTTGACATTACTCATTTCTTAAGGTCTCGAAGGCACTTTATCAAGGCCTGACTTTCAAAGTGATTTAACAGATGCTGTTTGAATTTGTCGATAGGATGACTGGTGCCTCAGATGGCTTTTGCAAAGATGGATATCCCTGTGTAACATCAGTATCAAAGCACGGCGTTAGTAATGCTGAGTACCTCAGTGTCTATTGTGATATACCTTTTAAGCTGCTTGTAATATGCTGTGTTCTGGGCCATTAATCATGTTTTTGTGAAGTCCTTCAAAGATGCCACGGTTCATGCGAACAAAATCACGAGCAGTCAATGAACAGCACACTTCAGTTCAAAGCTGGTTGTTGTAAGGGTTCTTAGTGTTCGTGGATAAGCCCTCAACTACATTCTGAGACAATATGACCAGATGGCTGCCAAGAAGATGGATGGACTTTAGGTGGAGTGACTTCAGCTTGACTGAACCTCGGTATAATTTCATACACACACAGATGAAAGAAATCAAGATAGAATTTATAAGGTCTGAGAACATTTTGGGCAGGTGTGCAAAAGCTCATAACTGAAAAACAGCTCCATTTCAAGCCATGAGTGTGAATTTGAACTGAATTGGTCACATCCCACAGGAAGTTGAACTGGAATGACAGGAAGAGGAATTTACATAATGCATTTTGGATGCATTTTATATTTATATTGAATTATTTAAATACTGTACTGTTATGTAGGTGTTTACTGTAATGTCAGTATTTTATATTTATATTTAAGTATACATTTATATAAATATACATTTATTATACGTTTATTATATAATAAATGTATACAAATAAATAAATATAAAATAAATTCTAAATAAATAATGTACAAAATATAAAATATAAAATACATCAATATTTAAATACATTTAAACAAAATAAATAGTGTCTATAAATATCAAATATAAAATGTATCAACAAATTAAATTGAGCTAATTTTCATGCAATATCTCTGTATCTTTAGATGTACAAACTTTCATGTGTTTTTTTTTTTTTTTTAAGTTTTACCAAAACTTTCAAACAAGGCTCAGTCAACATTCAAAAGCTAACATTCAAAGTTTGTCAAATAATTAAATGAAATCAAAATATTTAATTTCTACTTGCTTACAATGACATTGGAATTTAAAAAGCAAGCTCAATTCAATTGTGGTCTGGCAGGTGTCAATATGATTACATTAATTACTACTTCCCTCTCAGATGAAAAGCCAAATGAAAGGACACACAAACAAAAAACTAGACAATTTGGACATGTATCCCCATTTTGCTGCACTTTTCGACCCGAGCTGATGTGAGCCGGAGCGCCACAGCTCAGCTAATTCCCTGACAATCACAGGGGAAATGATTGATGCTGCTGGGACTTCATAGCTACATGATGGAAGGAGAGTTTCAGTTCTGCTGACATAAGCTTTCACACACAGACTGAGCGTTCACAGATTATTTACAGCTCCTTTACACAACACTCTATCGCCCTCACAGACCTCCTTAGAGGAAACACAAGCGACTGTGCCAAAGCACCATTAACTGGGTAGGTGTAAAGGATATTACAGAAGTGTAAAACAGACAAAGAGCGGAAATGCAGATCAAGGGCATATAAATGCGGAGACGTTACCGCAGCACACAAAGATCAGCCCACACGGAGAAAGGCAGAGGTGCACAACGTATTTGACAACAAGACACAAGAGAAATCTGTTTAAGTACACTATTGATGCCCTTTAGAGTACAGCCACTGAGAGGAGAGGCAGGAGAGGGAGAAAAAGAGGGGGAGGGGGGGTAAAACAGATGCATCTGGTTCTCTGTTTGCAGGAGTGGAGGAGGAACTCATTCTGAGACTCTCTCTCCCCCTTTTATTTCTCAGAAAAATGTGAGCCATGGTGGATAAAGCAGACTGCCTATACCCCATGCTGACTGGCCCGACTGGCTTTGGAGAGGGTAGAGGCAATCAATGTGAGCTCACAATAGAGCGAGAGCATTCAGAGAGCTAACTGCTCCCTCAGGCCATGTAGGAAGGAGGAGAAAGAGGATTGAGAGGAGAGGTAGGGGATGGACATAAAGACTAAGTTAAGGTTTATTTGGAGCTTAATGAAGAGCCAATGCAGGACGCGGTTTATTTTCCCCTCTTCTATGAAAAAAGATGTACGATGTTTGGACAGGACAGGCCCTTGGTTCGATCGGTGGAATGCGCATGGTATATTATACCTTGAGAGTTTACAGCCGCACACGATGTTAATTTTTAATTTAGCCAGTTTATAATAGACATGACTGTGTGTTTGAATTGCAAATCCACAAAAAATGAATTTATGCCACTCCCTAGAGGCTAATTTTAGCATTTGAACTTGGAACAGCAGACGAGCAGCAGAGAGAGTTAAGTTCACTGT